TTTCTTCCAAGATACCTTTGGTTGGATTTGAACCTACAAATTTTGGCTAGCAGCTAATCATTTAATTATACCATGCAGGGACTATGTTCAAAATGTGTTACTGTTGTGTGCTACTAAACTGTTTCCAACTCATAGCAACCTTCTAAAACAGTGTACAACTGTGTCCCTACGAGTTTCCAAGACTGTATTTACAGAAGCAGACTACCATGCCTTTGTCCCACAGAGCAGCTGGTGACTTTGAACCACAGACCTACTAGTAAGTGCTTAACTATTGCACCACCAGGGCTCCTTTAATAATTGTTGTTGTTGTGTGCTGTGGAGTCAGTTCCAACTGTACAGGGTTTCCCGAGGCTGTAAATCTTTACGGGAGCAGAAAGCGACATCTTTTTCCCACGGAACAGCTGGTAGTTTTGAGCTGCTGACCTTACGGTTCGCAGCCCGATTTGTAACCACTACGCTACCAGAGCTCCTGTCCTTTGATAATAATCATCATTATTATTGATACTTTGCGGCTCAGTATTCACTCTGTTCTTTTGATATTATTGCAGTTTTTACTCATTTCCTCCGATTCCTGACTCACCTCTTCTTGTGTTGCTCCAGGCAAATGGAGACCCGTTGACGTACCTTTGATGGCCACGTGCAAGCTTTTTCATTTTTCTTAAATTGTATTTTGTTGCTGAAAATATACACAGCAAAACATACACTTCTGCATGGACAATTTAGTGACATTGATTGTATTCTTCAAGTTGTACATCTGTTTTCACCTTCTATTTCTGGCTGTTCCTCCTCCATTAACATAAACTCAGGTTCCTGTCTAATCTTTCTAGTTGCTCTTGTCAATTTTATTTTGTATAGACAGTTCTTAAAAGACTGTATGATCAAGGCAGTCCTTTTTTAAGCTAAACTGTACGTCATGGATTGAATTGTGGCCCCCCACAGATTTGTTTATGTAATGATGTAACCATCTCCTAGGATGGGATCTGATGTGGAAAGACCATAACTTTTAATATGGGCTGCATCTCAATATTAACAAAATTCATCACCACTAGACCAATAAACAGTATCCATATAAATGAAGAAAATATTGAAGTTGTCAAAGACTTCATTTTGATTGCATCAACCACCCTTGGGAGCAGCCATCAAGAAATCAAACAACTTAATACATTAGGCAAATCTGTTGCACAAGCCCTCTGTAAAGTGTTGAAGAGCCAAGATGTCAGTTTGAGGACTATGGTGTGCCTGACGTAAGCCATGGTATTTTCAATAGCCTCATATGCATGGGGACATTCAACAGTGAATAGGACTAACATAGAAGAATTAATGCGTTTGAGTTATGGTGTTGGAGGAGAATATTGAAAGTGCCATGGACTCCAAAAAAACAAACAGATCTGTGTTGGAAGTAGTACAGCCAGAGTGCTCCTTGGAAGCCAGGATGGCCAGTCTTTGTCACTTATACTTTAGACATATTGTCAGGAGGGACCAGTCACTGGAGAAGGATATCATGTTCAGTAAGGTGGAGGGTCAGGGAAAAAGAGGAAGATCCCAGCGAGATAGACTGGCACAGTGATGGCAGCGATGGGCTCGGGTCATTAAATGATTATGAGGTTGGGCCAGGACGTTCTGTTGTGCATAGGGTCACTATGGGTCGGTACTGACTCGGTGGCCCCTAACACCAACAACAACTATAAAATGTTGGAAACGCTTTCTGGAAGGACTAGTTCCTAGAGAAGGACATTGTGCTTGGTAAAGCCAGTGGAAAAGAGGAAGACGCTCAATGAGATGGAGGCAGCAGTGGGCTCCTACAGCAGTTGTGAGGATGGTGCAGGGTCATGCAGGGCTCTGGTGTTCATAGGGTTGCTGTGAGTTGCAATCAACTTGACGGCAACGCCCACAGTCCCCAATGACTGCAGAAGGGGGTGGACTGAATACCTTGTGGTACCTCATTCATACAGACATGAAAAGTGATTGATGGATTTCTTGACATTGGAGGATGTGCAATGCACGTGGATTGGATAAAGCAAATTGCTAAACTGTCAGGTGAGATCAGGTGTAAGTTGAAAAAGGAGCACAAAGATGTGTGCTGCTGTCTCCCAGCCAGCCTTCCTGTCTGCCCAGCCTTCTGTCTGTCCAGGCTTCCTTCTGTCTGCCCAGGCTTCCTGTCTGTCTGCCCAGGCTTCCTGTCTGTCTGCCCAGCCTTCCTTCTGTCTGTCCAGGCTTCCTGTCTGTCTGCCCAGCCTTCCTTCTGTCTGTCCAGGCTTCCTGTCTGTCTGCCCTGCCTTCCTGTCTGTCCAGGCTTCCTGTCTGTCTGCCCAGCCTTCCTGCCTGCCTGCCTGCCCTGCCTTCCTGTTTGCCCAGCCTTCCTTCTGTCTGTCCAGGCTTCCTTCTGTCTGCCCAGGCTTCCTGTCTGTCTGTCCAGGCTTCCTGTCTGTCTGCCCAGCCTTCCTTCTGTCTGTCCAGGCTTCCTTCTGTCTGTCCAGGCTTCCTTCTGTCTGCCCAGGGTTCCTGTCTGTCTGCCCAGCCTTCCTGTCTGTCTGTCCAGGCTTCCTTCTGTCTGCCCTGCCTTCCTGTCTGTCTGTCCAGCCTTCCTGTCTATCTGCCCAGCCGTCCTGTCTGTCTGCCCAGCCTTCCTGTCTGTCTGCCCAGGTTTCCTTCTGTCTGCCCAGGCTTCTTGTCTTTCTGCCCAGGCTTCCTTCTGTGTGCCCAGGCTTCTTGTCTGTCTGCTCAGCCTTCCTGTCTGTCTGCCCTGCCTTCCTGTCTGTCTGCCTAGCCTTCCTGTCTGTCTACCCAGCCTTCCTGTCTGTCTGCTCTGCCTTCCTGTTTGTCTACCCAGCCTTCCTGTCCAACTGGCTGTCCTCTCACCACTTATCTACCTGCTGGGCTCTGACTTCGGCAGTGACCTGGCCTCATATAAATCTGGGAGCCACATGCTGTCCTGATCTCTGGGAGCCAGATGCCCTCGGAGTCTGTCAGTCCCTGGGACTGCTGAGAAGAACATGTCCCTCTCGGCTTCCTGGCATTCCCCAAGCTGTGACTTTAGATGCCGGGGGAAACCACTCTGTCTGTGGAAGACAGAAGGAGCAGCACTGTGATTCTCTGCCTGAGGGAAGACGTAGAATCATCTTAGAGTTGAGTCTAAAATTAAACCCTTCCAGGTTTTGAAAGGAAAATCCTACCCAAGAGAAGATGTCTTCAGTGATATTGCTGTGAGGTACCATCGACTTGATTTTGACTCATGGGGTCCCTGTGTACACAGAACATAACAGTGTCCGGTCCTGCTCCACGCTCACCGTCTTCACCGTGTGTGAGCCCACTGTGCAGCTTCTGCATCAGTCCATCTCATTGAGGACCTTCCTCATTTTGCTGACCATTGACTTTACAAGCATGAAGTCCCTATCCAGGGACTGGACCCTCCTCATAACATGTCCAATGTGTGTCAGACAGTGTCTTGTCATCTGGTTCTAAGGAACATTCTGGATGTACGTCTCCCAACACAGATGTGTACGTTTCTCTGGCAGACCATGGCATGTTCTGTATTCTTTGCTGAGACACTGTCATGAAGTGTCCCTTGTCTACGACTGACTCCCTGGTGACCCGCCTGATGCCACCATAGGGGATTACTTGCTACATGGGTTTTCACTGTTTCCAGAGTGTGTTCAGGCTGGTTGTGTTTGTGAGACTGATGTGTGTGTTTAGTTTGTGTATGTGTATGCTGGTGTGTACATGTGGGTGTATGTACGTGGGTTAATCACAAAGTATTGCTACTAGGCTTCCAGTTCATACATGCATGGCCTATTCCAAACAAAATGTGTTTAAACATGTCTCTGCAATGACTAGACAAGTTCTCACAGTCATACACTTGTCTTAGTCTCGTTGTTGAGTGTTGTTGAGTGAAGCCTGACTCACAGTGACCCAGTCTCGGGTTTCCAAGGACCAGCTGGTGGACTTGAACTGCTGACTGTGTAGTTAACAGTCCAGTGCTTATACTACAGCACCACACCAGGACTCCTTAGTTTTGTTGTTGTTAAGTGCCGTTGAGTCGGTTCCGACTCATTGCGACTCTGTATAGGGTTTCCAAGGTGCAGCTGGTGGGTTTGAACTGCCGACCTTGTGTTTCAAAGTCCAGTCCTGTTCCTACAGCGCCCCACCAGCAGTCTTCCTTAGGGTGTATTTAAAGGAAAATGTCCAATCCAAACAGTGACTTCTGAGGGAATTTGCTGGGCCACTTGAATTCAAGGCAGAGAGTGTAGCTTGGAAGGACATAGCAACTTTTTATTTTGGAATTACCACTTGGTCATCTTGATCGATTTTCCAAAAGGACACAAGACGATTACGTGGGCTTATTAGGAAGAAGTGAGAAAAAGTTCAGTGAAGTTGTGCCAAGGAATTTTGTTCTATCTTAACAGTGCATTGTTTGTCTTTCTTCAAGGGTAGCAAGGACTATCATAACGGCATTCATTGGAAAATCTTACGTCATCCACCCTGTAGCCCTGATCTTGCCCCTTCAGACTTTATGTTTCCAAAACTCAACAAGGAGAAGTCCCTTGATGATACCTAAATTGCGTGCCTGGCAATGGTGCTGCCTTTGCTCGGTGGCCTTGGAGCCTGACTCTATATCCAATTTCTTCCTGACATACAAATGCTCCCCCTGTGGTCCTTGTAGTTGGGAGGGTTCCTGTAAACACTGCACATATACCTGCCTAGGTGGTATCTTGGCTGATAGCATGGTGTCCATTTTCTGCAGTCCGCCACATCTTGAATTTGATCTTGTCTGGGAATGCCCTTTGTTTTATCTTTCTGCTGGAACGGCGTTCAGACTTGGGCTTCTCTCCAGGGTTTAAATCACCTCCCTAGTCCCTGAAAACAAGCCCAACAGTGTGGGGATTTCCCTGGGCCAGGAGACAAGAGCAGTAGGTTTTGGCCCTTTGTCCTGTGCTCTTCAACAATGTGTAGTTGTGTCTCTGGGTTCTGCATGCTGAGTCTCCTCTCACTGTGGTTTGCAGGTGGCACCGACATCATCTCGTGCTTCATGGGCCAGAACGTCTCAGTGCCTGTGTACAAAGGGGAGATCCAGGCCCGGAACCTGGCCATGGCAGTGGAGGCCTGGGACGAAGAAGGTGACGGCTACAGCCCACTCGGCTCTTCTGACTTGTTGGGAGGGGTCACTTGGCTGTGTGGTTTCTGTTAGTTAGAGTTCTCCATGGCTGTACTCTGCTGCAGAGGGGCACCCCCTCCCAACTTGCCGAGCAACGCCCTGAGCTCCTATCCATGGTCCATCTCCTCTACCCCAGTCTGCGCCTTGGAGAAGTGGAGGGTGGTTGGAGCCTGGGCCCTGTGTCAGCCAGCGTTGGCCTGACTGGCCCTTTGCTGACTCAGCCCAGTCTGTGTGTGTCCCTGGCTCCACACAGGGCCTGGTGTGAAGCATCACTGCGATTATACGTGGACTTGAGTGGTTTGAGCTGCAGCCCCCATGATGGTAGGCTCGGTGACTGGTGGGCGCTTAGCTTCTTCTCTGTCCCGTCCGACAGGAAAGCCAGTCTGGGGGATGAGCGGTGAGCTGGTGTGTACCAAGCCCATCCCCTGCCAGCCCACCCACTTCTGGAACGACGAGAACGGGAACAAGTACAGGAAGGCCTATTTCTCCAAATTCCCAGGTAGGAGGACGATTTCGCCCCCCGGGCCTGGGCTTTGTGTCTCATTCTCCATGCCCTCCTTCCCCCAGACTTACAGAGCTGCTCGGATGTCATTGTGCATAGGGCAGCTGATCATGAATTGTAAACTGTGTCTTGTCATTTGTAGCTTGAAACCATCATCTGGGTTTAATTTATTCCCATTCCCTTGCTGTGCCAGGAGTCCCTGGCCCCAAGCCCTGTTGTTGGGAGCTGGCTGGCCCTGGTGTCTCCATGTTGGGCTGCAGGTCCACTTCTACCTGCTCGGAGAGGCCAGGGGAGGTAGCTGGCCCCCATGTGTCTGTGTTGGGGCTGGAGGCCCTTTCCTGCCACTTAGGCCAGGGAAGCATTTTCCTTTCCGCCTTGTACACCATCATAACGGTGGAACTGGTGGAAGAGCTTGTTGTCATGATAGGATTTTCAGCCGGGAACTCCACTCTTGCCCTCTGAGCGGGACCTTGCTCCACCATAGGGAAGTCTGTATTGAAAGCCTGGCTTCCCACCACCTCCTTGTCTTCATTCATCAGCAGCCTCGAGTTATTACTGCTCTGTAATCCATTCAGCATGCCTTCTGTTCCAAGTTATTGATCCTAAATGCTTGCTTCCGGCCTCTAGAAAGGTGACTTGATTTTCGTCAGCTGCAGGCAGGGTTCAGGGTGTCTTGGAGCCGTGGGGTGGGCAGGACCTGCCTTATTCACCCAACTCTACTTCTGCTTCGCACACCTGTGTCATGTGCCCATAACATCTCTCTGGCCTTGCTTGGCTGCAGGAGTGACTGGAGGGCCCTAAGGAGGTGCAGCCTTCTTTGGATTCTTGTTGCCTCAGACCCTGTGGGGACAGACTCAGGCAGGACGGGCATGGGGACAAGGAACAGTGTCCCCAGTGTCTCTGTGGGAGAGAACCAGGTAGGATGGGCGAGGGGACATGGAACAGTGTCCCCAGTGCGTCTGCGGGAGAGACCCAGGCAGGATGGGTGAGGGGACACAGAGGAGTGTCCCCAGGAGGCTGGGGCCTTAGCACCTTAGAGGGAGAACCCTTTAAAGCAGTGACATCTCTGTTTTCTTTGACACTACTCTTGGAGTGCTCTGCCCTCTGCACTGGGGGGTCATGTGACACAGGTCTCCTGGTCCAGCCGGATGCTGCTGGCCATGACACCTTCCGTGAGCACAGCCAACCACACAGCATGACTCGGAGGCGTGGTGATGCCCTTGTCTTGGTTAGCTCAGGCCGGGCTGCTGGGACCCGTACAGTAGCTGTCCAGCTGCTCTAGACGCTGCTCTCCAGAATGGGCCCTGCCCCACCTTCAAGACCCACCTTCTGCTTTCCTGACACTTGCTTCCCCTGCCCTCCCACTGTAGCCCTGCTTCACGCTGTCTGGGGTCGGCCTTGCCCCCCTCCTCCTCCTCTGGGTCCCCATGGCACCTGCAGTGGCATTTCTTGTGTATTACAACTGCATGTGTGGTCTGCTGATGGCCTGCCCCCGGGCACCGGGACAGTCTAAGCATTTGCAGACTCCCCCAGCCCTCAGGCTCATGTGTGTCTGTGTCCCCTGAGCCAACAGGAGTGTCCCCAGGGTGACCATCCCTTCTGCCCCTTGCAGGCGTCTGGGCACATGGTGATTACTGCAAAATCAATCCCAAGACCGGGGGCATCGTTATGCTAGGCCGGAGGTGAGGAGGGTGCACCAGGCTGGGCAATGGGAGCTGGGGTGGGGGGTGCACGTGCACACGTGTGTGAGCTCCACCCCTCTGGACACCCTGTGTTGGCCGGCCCCTGCCCCTACCTCCCAGGCTTCCCACCCTGGGCCTCTGCAGGTGTGGGCTGGCGGACCTTCTGGGCTCTCCCTTCGTTCCTGGTGTGGGGTATCCATTTGTGTGTCCTCCCTAGGATGGGTCTGGTCCAGTCCACGTTCCTGTGTCTGTAGTGGGGGCAGGAATGGACTTGGGGGGATGCTGAGCAGAGGTGGGGCCAGTGCCTGTGGGCAGCTCTGAAGCCCTTCCTGGCCTGAGAGTGAGCAGTGGACACATAGTGGGAGGGAGGGACATGGGTCAGGTGGGAGGGGCAATGAGGGGCTGGCTTTTCCACCTCAACAAGCCCTTTTAAGTTTGGAGAGAGAGAGGGAGATAGGCAGTAAGGAGGGGAGGTGCCAAGGGAAGGGCCTTCACCGACCCCTTCACTAGGACCCCTCTGCTGGGTGGTCACATCCCCAACCTTCTCTCTTCCCAGCGACGGCACACTCAACCCCAACGGGGTGCGGTTCGGCAGCTCAGAAATCTACAACATTGGTACGTTGCCCCCATTCTCTTGGTCTGTCTCAGGGTATCTAGAAAGGGAAGGTGCCCCAGAGCCTCCCTGGGGAGAGAGCTCACACCCCTCATCTTGAGGGGAAAGTGGCGTGAGTGTTTATGTCCTTTCCAGAACATCCCTTATGCATCTTGATCATAGGTCAATTCCCGGGGCGTGAGCCCTCCCCCACAGTGGGTTCTATCGATAGTTTGTGGAAACAGAGAGGTTGTCTGGTATTGAGGACCATACAGCCACACACAGTGCATGTGAGGACCTTCACCTTGCCTCCCTGGGGAGCGTGTACATGTGTGGCTATGTGGGCATCCCCAGGTGGCTATGTGGTACAGCCCGCCTTGGGCACTCGCTGTTTTCCTTATTTTTAATTGCTTTGAAACGAAGTCAGTGATTGACACGTGGAGCCTCCTGTGCACACAGAAACACCCTAGTTACGGCCACTGATTTGTTCTTCCATTTGTTGTGTGGCTTCCTTGGAGCAGATTCCGGAGGGTCCTCCCAGATAGGCTGGGTGCTGAAGGGCTGGGCGTGGGGAGAGCCCCTTCATCTGAACCCCTTCATCTGCTCCTGCAGTGGAGGCCTTTGAGGAAGTGATGGACAGCCTGTGTGTCCCCCAATACAACCAAGATGGAGAGGAGCGTGTGGTCCTCTTCCTGAAGATGGTATCTGGCCACACCTTCAGGCCGGAGTTGGTACGAAGGATTTGCGACGCCATCCGTCTGGGCCTGTCTGCACGGCACGTCCCCAGTCTCATCCTGGAGACCAAGGGCATCCCGGTATGTACGCCTGTCAGCCAACGACAGCGCCTTCCCATCCTCACAGGCCCCTTGGCATGGGAGGCTTGCTCACACTTTATATATAGTGGTCTAGGTTGCCTAGCAACAGCATCCTTCTCCCCCTGCCTCGTGCCTCTGCCCTCCTTTGGCTGTTTCAATCAACTTCCTAAAGACCTCTGCTTGGAGGCTGAGCAGGCCCTGCCACACAACCCCCGTCAGCTCTCCCAAATGTGGTCCTGGTGTGGTCTCAGATACATTAATGAGAAAATTAATTTTAACTTCGTAAAGGGCTGCTGGGATGCTGTTGCCCCTGCCTTTTAATTTTAACTTCTGTCTGTGGGAACAAGATGTGAATCTATTTAGAGGCATATCTTCAGAAAGCTGCTCCCCCTTTTATGCTTTATTAGCTGCTAAGTGCAGGGAGGCCCTTCACTAGATTGGAGCCCAACCTGAACTTGCACCACTTAACCAGGTACCAAGCGGGTGCTCCTGTGAGCCAAAACTGTAAACTGTATGTGTGTATACACACAACATGAAACACAAAGATCTCAGCAGCCTGTACTCTCGGCTTACATGGTCTCTGCTTGCTCAGGAGGAGACGGGGCAAAGTACGAGCTGGCTTGGCCAGCTAAGCTGACCGTTGGTGCCCAGTATGGCCAGAGCGGAGGCTTCTTGAGAAGTCCCAGCACAAGTGACGCACTGACCGTGAAACCCGGTTCTCTCTACTGCATGCGGGCTACCCTTTCTCCCCAGAGCTCAGCCTGGCAACAGCAGGTTGTGTCTGGTGAACGGACTGTGGGTGAATGACTGGGTCAGTGTGTGACTTAGTGGGTGAGCAAGCAGGTGACCGAGCCGGCGAGTGGGTGAGTGAGCGGGTGACTGAGTGAGTGGACTAGGTCCTCCCACGGTTGCTGAGGTGGGACAAGCCTGCCTTGGTCCCACCCATCTGACCTTTGAGGAAATCGGAGACATGAGGGTTCCAGCTGACCAGGAAAGGGAGAACTGGTAGCTGGAGTGGGCGTGGCTCCAGCAGATCTTGGACTCTGAGTGGGCGTGGCTCCAGCAGATCCTGGACTCTGGGTGGGTGTGGCTCCAGCAGATCCTGGACTCTTAGTGGGCGTGGCTCCAGCAGATCCTGGACTCTGAGTGGGTGTGGCTCCAACAGATCCTGGACTCTGGGTGGGCGTGGCTCCAGCAGATCCTGGACTCTGAGTGGGCGTGGCTCCAGCAGATTCTGGTCCCTGAGTCAGCACTGACATTCGGCCCACTCCTGAGGGCAGCACAGCAGACATTTCCCTCTTGCCATGGCCGCAGGCTTCCTTTAAACTCATGTCTTGTCTATTTTGCCAGCTTGTGAGCTGACAGAAGATAGAAGTTCTTAGTGCTCTGGTGATCCTACAGCCCCAAGACATCTGCCTTTCAAACCGCGAGAGGTTGATGGCACCGAGAGCAATAACAGGCAACCCCTCGGAAACCTCCACTTAGATCCTTAATTAGCGCATATGTTGACTGAAGTTTTCAATTGAATAAGTTTTAATTCTATCTCAGGTTAAAAAACAGAACAGAACCAAAAACCAGTGTGAGGCAATGAGGGTACCACACCGGCAGCTGCCGTCAGCTCTGACTTCGGAAGTTTCCAAGTCTATAAACATGCCAACAGCAGTCCGTTGGGGTTCAAGATGAAACACGAGTGCCCAGCATTTCAAGGGGATGGGAGGTAGGACAGGTCAGCTACAAGGACAATTGAGGATGAGTGGTTCTAGGGAGAGGCTTGAGGCTTGCTTTTCAGGTGCGGGTTGCCGACATCTGATTTGATAGCAGCCACAGCAAGCCGCTTTCTCCTGAGAGAATGGTAACAGCTAGTCTGTCTCGATCATCTTTATGAGAAGGTTTGTGAGCAGTGACCTCTCTCCCCACAGCCCTCTGAACAGGTGCTACCGCCCCCTGTACACTCAAGGAGACAGACGTAGAGAGGTTGAGTATCTTGCCCGTCACCCAGTCATATCCGCTTGCCTCCACAGAGGCCTGTGGTGTTTCACCCAGGTCAGGAGGACATTCATCGTTTTCATGGGCAAGGACAGGTCTCTAGTGTGGCCTACGTGAGAGGCAGTGTGGGTGCGTCAGCAGTGTTCACCTGTCCACATTGACTTCACAGCACCCTTGAAATGGCTGCGTGGAAGGTGATGAAGAGTGTTCAGAGCTGGCTTTCAGCGATGGACTTTGACATTGCTTTTCAGCAGCACCGATTTCCTCCCAGATGGGGAGGGGACAGCTGTGTGGCCAAGGCATGTGGGCATATGTCGGCCATGGTCTCCTCTGAGCCTAGCATCCTTTGCTTTCAAGGCTCCAGTGGGTTTGGGTGGGCCTCACTTCAGACCTGAGGGATGTCCCCCTTCTCTTCATTTGAGCACTTTGTGTTTTCGCTCTCCTTGCAGTACACGCTCAACGGCAAGAAAGTGGAGGTGGCTGTGAAGCAGGTCATTGCGGGCAAGTCCGTGGAGCACCGCGGGGCGTTCACCAACCCTGAGACCCTGGATCTTTACCGCGACATTCCTGAGCTCCGGGACTTCTGAGCATGCAGAGATTTACATACCTGGCTCTTCTGCACTAAGGGCTCTGCAGGCTTCTGTTTCCTAGTTATGCTGGTGGACGCTGACTCGTCTCTGTGCTGCACGGGGTCTGGGCCTTCATAGGGACACAGGCATGCGGACTGCTCGGGTGGTACTGCTTTGGGGAAGTGGGCACTCTGTTTGTGCCCGGTTGAGGGTATAACCACGGGCCCTCAGTCCTGAGGAGTCGTCTGGCTTTGAGCTTCACAGTCCTGTCGTCTTTCTGTTTCTATCTGCTCAGGTGCAATCTCTTGTCTCTCTTCACACTCCAGGCTCTAGCTCTTCCCCTCGGGATCTGCCCATTTATGAGGGGGCTTCAAAAAGTACGTGGAGAAACAGAATGAAAAGCAAATGGATTTTTCCAGTTTTTGAAGCCCCCTTGTGTTGAACGTGAACTGTTACAAGAACACAGTCTGCCATGACGTACGCCCCCTTCCTATAGTGGTGGTTGGACACTGTGGGCTGACCACCCAAGTTACGTGTACCAAACAGTGGAAAGTATTCACTGGGAATGTGTGTCACTCCCCTGCCAACACTGCCTGGCATGCCGGCATAAAGCTCTCACAGAGCAAGGGGGCTCACTGTTTAATAGGATCTCATTATTCCTGGGCTTTGAGCGGTTCTTCAGTTTTCATGTTAATTCCATGTTTGGTCGTTTTCAATGTCCCTCGGGGAGATGAGTGGGGGCAGAGGGTAGGGCAGTTACTCAGCCAGCCCCTTCTCTGGGTCTTACCCTAGTCCTTGACCTATAGTGTGCAAGTTCGTAGGGGCTTAAAGTGAGAAGTATGTTACGAGCATTTGTGAATTGAGCACCGCGATTCAATAGCTAGGTGGTGTGTGTGTGTCCTTCTCTGTTCAGTATCTTCACCAAGTTCTGGAACCTTAGTGTTTGTTTTTATATTTTTAACAAATGGAGCACAATGAAATACTTTCTTTGAATCCCCTTTGTTCTGCAATATAAATACATAGTGGAAAAGTTCTATGAGGAATTTAATATAATAAATATATATGTGTGTGTTTGTGCACACACCTATCCACATGGGTTTGTGTTTTCTCAGAAGCTGGTCATCCTGGCTTTGGGCATGGACATGGCCACGTGGACTTGCCAGCTGACAGCTGTGCTCTGAAGGAAGCTGTTTGGTCCTCGTCATTGGAGTCTGTTCTGGACTCCTGGCTGCTAACAGCAGTTACTGAGGAAGGACAACTGGACAAAGCCTCACCCAGGCCGCCTCCAACCTGGGCTCGCTCAGGGTCTGAGCTGGTGGTTTCTAGACTGTTCCTACTCATCATTGCTAGAACTGTGTCTGGCTGAACGTCATAGAATCCAGGCTTACCCCGGTCTCAAGTATGTTTTGTATGTAGCCGCAGGAAGGCGTGACTCTGAAAGGCCCCAGCCCCTCTGTCAATCCCAGTGTTGGTCCCTGGTGGCTGTGTGATGTCCCCCGTGATCCAGGAAGGAAGGAGGAAGTGGCAAGAGGGCTAGTGAATGGCAGAGTGCTTCCTGAGTCCCTGTCTCCCCGACCCCCGTGCTTCATATCAGGAAACCAGTGGCTGTTCTATAAGCCCACGCAGTTCACCCCCACTGTGGCTCATTGGGCAGACTTGCCTGGTTACCTGGGCACACTAGCTAGCTGCAAGGGATTCTAGTCTGGGGCTCTGAGTTATTTTTCAAATTTCCTGTGACTGTAGTAACTAGTAAACATGTGCTTAGCAACTTAACACAAATTAACTCTGAGTACTGGAGGTCAGTAGTCCAAAGTGGGTCTCACCGGGCAAAATTAAATGTATTGACAGAAGCTGGTTGCTTCTGAAGGCTTCTGGGGGAAATCCACTCCTTGTCTTCTCAAGCTTCCAGATGCCATGTGCATTCTTTGACTGGTGGCCACACCCTCCATCCTCAAGATCAGCAATGGCTGGCTGAGTCCTTTCATGTCACACCACACTGACCCTCTCACTTAGAATGGCTTTTTGATGATACTGGGTCCTCCCAGATAAACCAGGACATCTGCCCATCTCAAGAGCATTAGCTTGATCCCATCGGTGGAGTCCCTTCTGCGGTGTGGGGGAACATACAGGTTCAGGGGATATCTCTTGGGCTCATACTCTGCCAGCACTGAGCCCCGAGTAGTCCAGGGGCCTTCACCGTCTACTGCTCCTGCTGTGATACATCAGCTGCCGGAAGGCTGACTTCACAGTGATTTGCAGTGCAGAGTCATTGCAGCTTAATCAGCCCTTTTGTTCTGCCAGGACATCCCTAGCAGGTGCACTCACACAGCCTTATTAATCAGCCACTTCATTAACGAGCGGCAGATGGTCCTGAACAGCAGACATGCGCATGGGCTGTGCTCATGGGCCTTGGCCGAACACCGTGCTTCACACCCACCACATGCCCTCTGCTGACTCCTCTCCCAGCTCCCAGGGACTGCCAGACTCAGGCCCTGGCCACACTCACTGTGCCTTCCCCGTCCGCTCACATCCTGTCCAGCTGACTAGCCGTGTGACTGCTTTAAGGATGGTGTGGGGGATGGAGATTGGGAGACCATCCGTTGTCCCCCACAAGTATAGGAGTCCCTGGGTGGCATCGACAGTGAAATATTTGACTGCTAACCCAAAGGCTGGTGGTTCGAACCCTCTCAGTGGTGCAGGGATTCGGCTACCTTTGGGACCAGGCCCACCTCCCCACCAAGCACCAGGTTACTGATCCTTCTCATGAATTTGGCTGGATAGACCTGCTGCCTCAGGCCAGTGGAAACAGGAGTGTTTGAAGGACTTGCTTGTTTGTGTTTCTCAGGGATACACTGGTAAGCACGCACGCCTTTTCAACACTTGGGCCTTGTGTGTATGTCTTTCCTTAAAGATGGAATTACATGCCTGTCAGACCAGCACATGTCAAAACTGGGTTTTGTTTTACCCCTGGGTGAACAGTGAGAAAACACAGCCCCCACGGCCATATCAGCTGGGATATTACCCTGGCCTCACTGAACAATCCCTGTCCAATGACCTCAACCTGTGTCACTTACAGTTTCCGGTGGGTGGAGACAACTCTTTCTGTGTTCACAACAATTGGCTTTTCTTGGGTGTTCGTTCTGTAGAGCCAGGGGATCCGATTCAGAACTCACTGATTCAACACACATTCTTGCCTGGTCCTGGGACCAGAGGTCATCCAGGTAGGTGAGTTCCTTCCCAGGGTATGTTGAGACATTCGGTCAACAAGGACACAAGAGAACATGGCAGGGAAACATTTTTTTGCAGGGTATGAGATAGCGATGCTCTTTAGATAAAAGCAGAGGGTCAGCGAAAAGGAGAAAGACCCTCATGTTAGCCTCAACGATGAAGACTTACGCCCACGAACATGAGGATGATGCCGGACCAGGTAGTGCTGCGTTCTGGTGCTTACTGGGTCTCCACGAGTCAGAGCTGATGGCATCTGACAACAGAGAGAGAACACTGTGTGACGTTACTTAGATGCAATTGGTTAAGACGTCATCCAGTAGAAGATCCCTAACCCACTATGACTGGGTTCCTTTACGAAGAGAGAAACACACAGGGAAAGATGGAGGCAGGGATGGTGCCACAAGTAAGGAGAGAGCACCCCCTAGAACATTCAGAAAGCAGGCCCTGCTGACCCCTTGCTCTCGGACTAATGGTCTCCAGAGCTGTGAAATGATACACTTTGGTTTTTTCAAGCCATCCCGTTTGCGGGACTCTGTCATGGCAGCCATGGGGAACGAACACAGTTGGGTTGGTCAGGAAGGCCTCCCTGAGGAGGTGACCCTGAAGCCATAGCCCAAAAGCTAAGATGCTAAGATGAAGTTGGGAGGCCCACCAGCCAGGCAGAGGGTAGGGTCTGAGCAGAGAAGTCCAGGAAGGATAACTTGGAAGAGGTAGGTGGACCATGGTAGCCATCACGGGACTGTATTCTAAGGGCAGCAGGGATGGGTCTGGGATCAAGTGCTGGGTCGGTGGAAGACGCCATGGTTTTCAACTTACCAGAGTTCTCCTTTGCTACTCTCTCCTCTGAATGTGCTGTTTGTAACAGAAAACATGAGCATGGTTCTGGTTCATCAAGCAAACAGGTGTTGAGCACACAGCAGAGGGGGTTAGGCGGCCTTTTGATTAGGCTCAGGCAGCCCAACAACTGCTTTGATGCACTGAGATCTTTACTCTCTGAGCCAAGACTGCTTTTTATATTAGCGCAAACGAATCCTAAAAGCCCCTGCCATTTCGTTGCCAAACGTTCAAGACTGCCATAAGCAAATAAGTAAGGGCCCGTTATGAGGATGTTTGCAATACATCATGTGATAAATGCAGGCTCGGTTGTCATGGTTTATCGTGTTGGAGAGAGCTCTCGGCCATCCAACGGTAAATACATGTTTTAATCGCTTCATTAGCTGACGTCCAGGGGAGAAACGGTTCTTAGTCAATTCATTATGCTCTGGAACATCTCCAAATGTTTCCATCTTCAGGCTTCCTCCCTGTTTTTCCTCACACTTCTTTTTATGTCAGGCTGGGTTGTTAGGTGAGAGGAGGGAGTGGCTGTGGCGCGGGGAGGGGGGTGGGGGTGCGGGGACCCGCTTTGGCACTGGGCATCCACACCAGGTTTGACTTCAGTTTTTATTCTCTAGGGTTTGTGCTTTTCAGCTTTTCCGGCCTGCTCACCACTTCTCTGTGGGGCATGGCCTCATTCTGTGTGGAGTCTGTTTCCTCTCTTCAGTCTTGACTTTTTTGCTGAGGCTTTCTCCGGGGTTCCACAGCGCAGCGTTCTCAGCAGAGAGAACATGACTTTACCACTAAGCACCCAAAATACCCACTGCTATGGAGTCAACTACAACTCATAACAACCCTATAGGAGTAAAGTGCAGCATAAGATTTCCATAAAAGGCTGTCCTCTTTACAGAAGCAGCCAGCTACGTCTTTGTCTAGCAGGTGGCTGGTGGCTTCACACACCACTGACCTTTCAGTTA